TGAATGCGACAAAACGGCTACCTGATTAATGATGATCGGCTGTTCTGTGGATCGCCACCTAAGTTTGAAGCTTTTATTAACACACACACTCTCAAGTGGATTGGAAAAGAATAACACATCTTTTTTTTTATTGCTTAGATGGGTGGACGAGCTCACAGCCCACCTGGTGTTAAGTGGTTACTGGAGCCCATAGATATCTACAACGTAAATGCGCCACCCACCTTGAGATTAAAGTTCTAAGGTCTCAAGTACAGTTACAACGGCTGCCCCACCCATCAAACCGAAACGCATAACTGCTTCACGGCAGAAATAGCCGGGGTGGTGGTACCTACCCGTGCGGACTCACAAGAGGTCCTACCACCAGTAAAAATTTGCTTTAAGCTTTTACTATGTGATCGCCTAGTACCTACGACTATGTCGCTTCCCTAGGGTGTCGCAAAAGCCTACTAATACGCTGATGACGAAATGTGTATATGCAAGCTTATCTTGAAAATGTCGTAAGCGAGATTCAGGCATCTGTCAAATATCTTGTGTTCTGTGATGGCTACCGCCACAGATTCATCGGAGAACGGTCAGCCATGCTGTCTGGTAATATTATTATACCTGATTACTGTGATCGGCAACGGGAATTTACTTGCCCAAAACTTTCAAGCCAGAGATAGATGGGTTTAGCACCACTATTATTAATGACTAATTTTAATTTAAAACTGATTGGTACCACCATTCCACCTATTCCTGTTGTAAAGCAGCCATGCATGCCGATAAGTATCCGACACACTCTCCAAATCAGATGTGCTGGCTGCTAGGCACTTGCGATGCAAATGTTATGTACATGATTGATTCAACCTATTGAACCTGGTACCTATTGAATCAATTGCAAGAAACTATGAATTAAGTGGAAACAGTGCTTTATCGAACTGGTCAAATATGTTTTCCTAAAGTAACAATAATTTGTCGCAAGACAAAATCGATGTATCTTGCTTGTACAACAAATGATTTTACAAACAATATCTTACACAATATCCCCAGCATTTTCAATGCACATACAAGAATACAACCATGTTGACAATGCCAGTGATCCGTGAACCGGACATGTACCAGTCGGATACACGTATAATATCCGGATGTATTCAGACGCCGGTCGGACTTCCGACACACAACACTATGTCGGGTTGAGAATAAACTTAAGTGGCCAATTTATCGTAGCTTTCGGTTCATTGCCTTTAAGCTTCCGTGTTGCTTATAGAAGTATTCGTGTGTTCTAGATTCTAAGTCTGGATAATGGCTATTTTCATGTAAACAAATTTTTGAGGCCACGTTTAAAAAAATCATCAGTGCTTAAATGTAGATCATTGGACTTTTTGACGTGAACGCGAATAACTAAGTTGAGTGAATTGCTAATTCATAATAATAATTCATTTTGTTAATTCAGCATTGCTTCAGGTTTAAACGTGTAAAAATGGTGTCTTGACCGTCCTGGGTTGACAGCCCACTGAGTTTCTCGCCTGATCTTCTCAGTGGGTCGCGTTTCCGATCTGGTGGTAGATTCTGCGAAGCAAGGCTCTTGCTAGGGTTTGTGTTAGCAAATTCGTCAGGTTTGAGCCCCATGAGCTCACCTACTAGTTAAGGTTACGCTGATATAGCCTCTTAAGACTCTCAGCTTAGGTAGGAAAAAAAGGTGGCTTATTAACCCCACGTGGCATCTGTGAAAGTGCAGAAATGTGGGAAAATGAAACCTAAGCTGCTGGACGTGGCGTCTTGGGTTCTTCCAAAGAGTCCGCTGAGATCTCAATCAATAACCACAATTTTATTGAGACTACATTTCTTCTCATCTCATCGTTTGTTTCATTTAATTCATTTTTTCTTACATTATTTTTAATTGAAATTTATTAAAATTTATTTTCTAAAATATTTTTAGTTCGATTTTCGATAAAAGCATATTTTGTTATTTTTTTTAAACTATTATTTATTTTTCATTTTTTAGTTGAATTTAAATTTTTTCTATATTTTTTATTTTAATTTTTTTTAATATTGAATTGTCGTCGTCGGTCCTTAATAAGTGTACCAAATTTCGAGTTAATCCGACGTTTTGAAGGTGGTCAAAATCATGTTTAAAAATTCCGTTACAAACATACATACGTCTGAAGCTAATAAAAGCGTATTAAAAATTATAAAGCTATAAAGCACCGACCAAATAAAATATCGAGTTAAGTTAGACTGAATATCAGTAAAATTTGTGATTATAATAATTCACTGTCCAAACAATACAGAGAGAAACAACGAATACAATGCGTTCCAGTGAACATCATTGCCCGCTCGTAAACTTTATATTTTCATATGAGACTCGTGGAAGGCAACATGTGTGAGCGCCATTAAGTCCCATCCAATTATCTGAGGCACAACGACCCCGGAGGACACTCCACCCGCTTTGTACAGAGGAGTTTCTCGAGTTTAATAATCAACGCAATTGTCAAATCGTCTGAGAACTTATCAAGTGCCTTAGCGAAGCCGGTTGACATTTACAGAATTCGGTAATTGACGGATGGTTGTTTGTTAAAAACAAAAGGAGATCGTAGATATCACGACATGATTACCACCGCCTGACAAATTGGTGTATACTTAATTGGATTGTTTTTTTTTTATTGCTCAGATGGGTGGACGAGCTCACAGCCCACCTGGTGTTAAGTGATTACTCGAGCCCATAGACATCCACAATGTAAATGCGCCACCCACCTTGAGATATAAGTTCTAAGGTCTCAAGTATAGTTACAACGGCTGCCCCACCCTTCAAACCGAAACTCATTACTGCTTCACGGCAGAAATAGGCGGGGTGGTAGTACCTACCCGCGCGGACTCACAAGAGGTCCTACCACCAGTAACTCCAACATGTTCCGCCTACTGACTCCAATGTATAGGTGGAAGCTGCCACTCACACAAATAAAAAGGCCGCCACGACTAGGTACCTTATCTATAATAAAATATTTATTTGAACCATTAACAATGAGAACTTGCTAAATGCTAATGTTTTAGGTTATCCTGAGGCGATAGGCCTCGCATTGTTATTGGAATTAGCATTGTTCAAGTATCTGGGTCAGTGAGATAATCTCGAGAAATTATAGTTCGATTACTCTAGGTTATTGATACTAGGTATATATTTGCTAAGTTGAATAGACGAAGCCCACGGCCCACTTGTTGTTATGCGGTCACCGGAGCCCATAGATTTTACCCATTTACGTTGTAAATGCGGGCACCCATCTTGGGACATGAGTCGTAAAATCTCTGTTTTTACAATTCATACTTTAGTTTGTTTCCAAAGCTAGTTGCTATTTTTGAAAATGCTTCTACTAAAATGAGGGCTACATTTTTATGAGTCCAATCAATAATTACGAAATTTTTTCGTGGCTATGCGTTAGACATGGCAAACGCGAAAATTTGGGGTCTGTCTGCAAAATTTGAGCCGCGGTATAGTCCCGTCGCAAAGGTAGTATAGTATTGTTTCGATGGAAAACGAGATTTTTTGCTGATGCCATTGTAAGGTGAAAGAAAGCGTGACATTATATAAAACAGTATATTAATATAGTCCAAGCTACAGTGAAAATGAAGGAATTTATTGATTAAACATAATTATCGAGTAGTTGCTCTACAAACTCTCTAAGTATCTTAGCTCAGTAAATCTTGGATATTCTTTAATCAAACTTGGTAACCAATTCGTATCTATATTTGTTAATCTAAAGCCATTCTATTCGAAGATTCTGCTTAATGTCAATGATAACTTTTAGAATGCAGAAAAAAAAGAACTGTGACATTGTATATATTTTCAGTAGCCACTTCAAATATGAAGCCTAAAGTAACTAGTTTACACTAGACGTTGGAACGCACATTTGTTTCACGCCCGAAGTAGGTACAACTTGGATGACTCTCAAATTCTTGGGAGCCATTCGTCCGACCTCGCTCCCATATCAAACGGCAATAACAAAAGCGTTACAGCATTACAGAGGTCCGTCGGGCCATTGTTTTTGGCGCTTACCGAGAAAGCTTTTTGTTTGCACCAAAACATTCGCACAGACAATAGCCCGATTGTCTTGCTATTTTCGTCTTTGCGAAGAACGTAGGCTTAACTTAGTCGTGTTGATTAAATTTTGACAGTTCACTTTTATACGTAGTTTGAAATAAAGTGGATTCATTGTTGCAATCATTTCATGTAAACGTTATCAGTGACTGGTGTTGGGAACTCTCTAAGCCTGCATTCATCTGAGTTTTGCATTAAAAACTAAATTGTGGGTAGTTTGAGTTTGACGTTTAACAAACTACCCTCCAACGGCCCAAATGTTAACTCTACATTTAAATAATTTAACTATTCGTCTTCGCGCCGACAAATATAATCGTCAAGTTAAGATTGTTATGGATTTGTTTTAAGGATGGGTATGCTACCCATCATATCCATCATATCCATTAGCTTTTTTATCGTTGACCTCAGGTCTGTGGGGCTCGATGGGGTTTAGTCGGTAGTCGGTTTTGCGGGGTAGCTCTTGCGTGGCTGACGCCGTGCAGTGCCTCGCGCGCCTTTCTCAAGGCGTAGTCTCCCGGCAGGAATTGGGAGAAGAGGAGGACCCCTGTCTTCTTCTTCTCCCTGTTCTTCTCTGGAGGCGCCGGAGTCCGACATAAACCGGTCTCTTACCCCCCTCGACCGGGTATCCATAAATGGATTCCCCAGCGTTAAAAAAAAAAGGTCTGATTGCATTGGTCCGAGGTGCCAAAGTTAAATTAAGATATAATTCAAAATTGCATTAATTCCTACTATGTTGTTGTGTTTATAGGAGTGCATGTATAAACAGAAGAATACTTCCAAATACTAGTACAGTACTCAAAATGCTTAAGCGCTTATTTCAGCATGTACCCGGTTTCCGGGCAAACTTCACCGGTTGAACATAGTATCCGTGAACATTTTTGTTAAAGTTCAACTAGAATTGGTGTTTAGAATAATACTTATTTTGTTACAGAAAACAACAAGAAGCTGGATAGAGAGCACATTTCAGAAGCGAGAGTGTAAATGCTTCGTTCCCAGCGCTAAGGATGAGCATGTGTAAGTGAAATTAAATTATTTTTAGCTGAAAAATCGTTCGTAGATTCCTGTGCAGAATACGCTTATTAGAATTATCGTTTTCATTCGATTACGGTGTGGTTCAATTTTGGGGTTTTTAAACTGTCATGAGATACCTCAAGTGTATCATAGTGTGTATCTCATTGCAATAGATATTCGATCTTATGTTTCATGTGTTACGGTATAGATATTGTAACAACCCATAAACACAGCCCACTGAGTTTCTCGCCGGATCTTCTCAATGGGTCCCGTTTCCGATCCGATGGTAGATCCTGCGAAGCACTGCTCTTGCTAGGGCTAGTGTTAGCAACACTCGAGTTTGAGCCCCGTGAGCTCTTCTACACGTCAAGAAGAAGCTGAGATAGCCTCTCAAGGCTATATTCATATATACATATATAATATAAATTCTCGTGAAATTGGAGCTCTTTTATCAAAACCTTCACGGAAAGCAACACCCAAATTGTGTATATTAGCTTGCGCAAACAAATGTCTGCCCTCGTGTTGCACTTAGGCTGTCATTATTAACCTAATCGAGTATGAAATTCAATAACGTTACGTTGCTCTGGTTCATTTGATGATATTAAAGGGTGTTTCTTTTTGTTTGTCTCCTTTATATTGTCAATGTCGATTTAGAAACTTAACTAATATTCTTTTTTGACTCTCTCACTGAAATGCTGGGAATAGATTAACACTTCATTGGACTTTTTAGTAGAAATCCATTAATAATTTATCGCAATTTTCCCCACATCATCGCAATATAATAAGAAATCGAAAAAAAAATCACAAACAATTCTTATAATGAAAATAGAGTTAAACTTTTTTTTTATTGCTTATATGTGTGGACGAGCTCACAGGCTACCTGGTGTTAAGAGGTTACTGAAGCCTATAGACATCTACAACGTAAATGCGCCACCCACCTTGAGATATAAGTTCCAAGGCCTCGAGTATAGTTACAACGGCTGCCCCGCCCTTCAAACCGAAACGCATTACTGCTTTACGGTAGAAAAAGGTAGGTGGTACCCACCCGCGCGGACTCACAAGAAGTCCTACCGCTAGAAAAACCACATAGATGACTAGTTCCAAAATTGGTTACAAAATAATAAACCAATTAAGGTTCATTTTCGTCCTTCATCGCTGCAAATCACGTTTCATTCTCGCAACTGCTTAACTTATTACGCGATGCATTTAATGTGCCCTCGGGTCATGCGACAAACGACCTTATTTATTTTATGTTAATTACCCTCTATAGCAACCTCGGGAAACTGGTTGGTGGTGCTAATAAATTTGTTTCTTGAAATTCATGAATTACTTCTAATGTTGTTTAATTTGATTAAAAGAAAATAATTGGAGCTTTGTGCATTAGAGACAGCATGCGTATCGTTTATCATTTGTATAATTGCTCTTGGTACTTCGAATAAGACTTTTTTTATTTATTGCTTAGATGGGTGGACGAGCTCACAGCCCACCCGGTGTTAAGTGGTTACTGGAGCCCATAGACATCCACAACGTAAATGCGCCACCCACCTTGAGATATAAGTTATAAGGTCTCAAGTATAGTTACAACGGCTGCCCCACCTTTCAAATCGGAACGCATTGCTGCTTCACGGCAGAAATAGGCAGGACGGTGGTACCTAACCGCGCGGACTCACAAGAGGTCCTACCACCAGTAAGAAGTACTATTAAGGTATGATTAACGGAATTGACATGCGAGACGCTCCAAGAAATGGTTGTATTCTTGAATTTAGCATAAGTTGAAACATTGAAAACATTTAAAAACCGTAGAACAAAGTCGAACATAGTCTAATCTGAACGCTTTGAACGATCTTTGCCAAGCAAAAATGTAAACAAAAAAATATTTGACAGATAAAGACATTAGTTTTCAAGTAATACACAAAAACACATTATACTCAATTCTTATTTTAAATAGTCACGAGAGAAACTAAATCTAGCGTTCCGAAGACAGGTAATTCTTTTTTACGAAAAACCTGGAAAAAATTGAAGTCAGATTTTATTGTTCAAATTACGGGCGAACGCCACAAAATATGAGTTCGTAGTTAATTAAAATCTTGCAGCCACATAAATCTCGTTATAGCTTTAAGCTCCGCTCCGTGCTTCGTGTGAGCTTCTTTAAGAAGCCACATTATTTGTGTCTCTGTCCCTGAGGCGTTGTTGCTTTATTTTATTGGATTTTGTAGACTTTCAAGTTGCTTACTTAAGATTTGTCTGTGGCCTGACAACTGATAGAACTTTTCTGGTGATAGTGAACTTGTGCGGTTTGGTTGTTTTATTGCTTAATGTGATTAGACAAGGACATCACCCAGCTTGTGTCATATGGGTTCAACTTTTTATTTATTGCTTATATGGGTGAACGTGCATTGTCGTAAATGCCGCACCCACCTTGAGACACGAGTTCTAAGGTCTAACTTTTAATAGTACAACGGTTACCCCTTCCCTTCAAACCGAAACGCATTACTACTGCTTCACGGCAGAAATGCGCGGAGTGGTCGTACCTAAACACATATAAGAAAAATAAAAAAATTAATTATATATAAAAAAAATGTTTGTTTTAAGACACCGCATAAAGCATTTTATTTTGTGAATTCAATGTTTCATGTACAATTTGTCACCTACCCGCGTAGACTCACAAGATGTTACCACCAGTAAATACTGCCACCATTCAGTATCATTGCTGTCCCTTCATTGAATGGAACGTGTCATTGTATCATGGAAATAGGTTTTTTTTGGAGTTTACTCCTTTAGAATCGATTTACATATATAGGCCCGGGGTATGAAAATTATGGGGACCAAAATCGTACTAGCATGTCACACGAAATGCGTTATGCGCCTGATTGCGCATGTCACACGAAATGCGTTATCGCAGGTGACGCCGGGCTGCTGCGCCGGCAGTCCGCCACAAAGCCTCGTACTGATCGNGGCATGGGGGTTAAAGAGAGTACAGTATAGTAATGAAAGGACATGAGTATTGCGGCGAAGGCGAATTGGTAACCACTTGAGTTTAGTGCGAAATTCAGATACATGATCATATTTCCGTAAACCAAATATGAATCTTATGCAGAAATTTTGTAGCCGCTCAAGTTTATCAAGTTGTGTTTCAGTTAAATCAGTATAGCTGGCATCGGCGCAGTCAAGAATTGGAAGAAGGAGAGATTAGGACCGCTATGATGGAAACTTAATTTAAAAAAAAACAATATCGAAATTAATCTATACCATTTTTGAAAGTCGTGTCGTTTAGGATGAGTTTAGTCACATGCACACACACAGATTTTGTTTTATAATTCATTGTATCCTACAGTTGATAACATTCACAATAATGTTTTCATAATCATAATCGAACAACTAAGCAGAGCGATTTTTTTTTTCTATTCTATCAGCCCATGGACGTCCACTGCTGGACATAGGCCTCCCCCAAGCCTCGCCACAAAGACCGGTCCTGCGCTGCCTGCATCCCCGCGAACCTCAATAGGCCGTCGGCCCACCTTGTGGTCACCAAGGTCACCCAAAGAGCAATGGAGAGGGCTATGCTCGGAGTTTCCCTGCGAGACCAAATCAGAAATGAGGAGATTCGCAGGAAAACCATGGTAACCGACATAGCCCAAAGGATTGGGACACTGAAGTGGCAGTGGGCAGGACACATTGCTCGCGGAACAGATGGCCGTTGGGGCCAGAAGGTTCTTGAGTGGCGACCGCGTACTGGGAGACGTAAGCAGAGAGATACAGATGAATAAATCGATTTATGCGAGTTTATAATGTTATCGTGACTGGAATCGCCAAGTCTACCCGATATGATATGATTCCAAGCCCTTTTTTTTCCTACCTATGCTGATAGCCTTGTGAGGCTATTTCAGCTTCACCCTAACGTGTGTAGGTGAGCTCACGGGACTCAAACCGGAGTGTTGCTAACACTGATCCTAGCAAGAGTAGTGCTTCGCAGAATCTACCACCGGATCGGAAACGCGACCCACTGAGAAGATCCGGCGAGAAACTCAGTGGGCTGTGTCTATGGGTTAATTCGCTCGTCGAGCCCTTCGTCGCAAGCGACGGGTTCGACGAGGACGGTGACCGGTGCTTGTGGTTTCCAAGCCTAATATTCCAAACTAATATGATTCCAATATATACTATATATAATCTGATGAGTACTTACAGCCATATATTTTAGTATGGAGACTGTGACGACCGCGTGTTTCCATTTCGTCAATCTCTCCAAACTATCAAATATCATTTGCGGGGATATCTATTGATAAACAAAGGTAAAATTTCAATTATCGATTTCATATATTTTTATGTTATTTCAATCGGAGAAGAAGCACACAGGCGACTAGTGCCCTTGAACATCACCCATCCCTATTGTGGTCGAAGTTTTATTTGAATTTTATGTCCTAATTTTCAAACCTATGACTGCTTCACGGTATATATCGGCAGGATGGTGGTACTTATCCGAATGACCTCACATATCTATCAGTATCGGTTATGTTCTTCATATATTTTGCAATAGTCATAACATAGCGTGACGGGATTCACTAGTATGTACACTAAATCGTCTAAACAAAAACAGGACTTAATATTTATAATTTAATTATAATTAACTATCTGTTTGTTTGTATTTTTATTCAGACAAAAAAAATACTAACTCGATTTTCAATGAATATATATTTTTTTTAATTCTATAATTAAGTACGTTTAAAATTTAGGATAAATATCTGGCTATAAAGACAGTAATAGATAACAAGGTAGTTGTAACGTAAATCGCCATGGGAAGAATATTCATAATATTAATGCAAATCAACAGATGTATAACCACGCGAAATACCGAATTATCTNCAACTGGGATGAAATTTAATGAAATGAGATGATATGGGATGAAATATAATCGCAGTAAAATGGTGGTCATTTACTGAGATTTTTTCAGTGGACTTTTTGGAGGAACCCGAGAAGTTACGTCCAGCAGCTTTGTTTCATTTTCC